TAGACTATAATTGTATAGAGTGTGTCGTATAAATATTCAAATCATGTTTTAAAATAGGATTATCCTTCATGTGCAGGAAAAATCCAAATTATGCTGTATATTCTCAGCCGCATAGATCTTATGATTTTTTGTTTTTATTTTTTTGCTAAGATAGATCTTATGATTTTATTATCTCCATTGTGGATCATTATATTACATTTTTATTTTATGATAATTGTTGACTCATGTCAACTATCATATATAATTGAATTAATTTTCATATGTACGTATATTGCAATACAAATTTTAGTAAAATTTATTTATTTATTTAAAATCCAGATCCTTTTCATTATTTCATATACCACACAAATTGGCGAGTCTGAATACGTGAGCCTACCAATAAGAAATTCCACATCCCACTGTGAATTGTTTTGTGCGCGTGATTGGTACGGTCAAACTAACATCACAATAATAAAAGGCAAAAGCTACTAAAATACAATTATATATATAATATTAATAATAACAAGCAGGAGGTGAACATGCTTTTTAATTAACATGTATTTTTTAACAAATTATCAAAATTTATAAAAAAAATTAAAAGTAATATTTTATAATTTTAAAAAATTAACAATTAAAACACGCAACACACACACAGACACGTAGAATATAATCTGAGGTCTAAAATGGAATTTAAGATCTATTTTTTTTTTAAATTATTTAAAATAATTATTTTTTATTTAAATTTTATCTCTTTCCAACTCTTTTTAAAACAGAATATCTTATATATTAAAACACTTTAATAATTTTTTTAAGATTTCATTTTAATGAACAGTAAAATTGATTTATTTAATATTTATTAAGTAATAGTCTTAACTAAAAAATATTTTATTAATTTAAATTTATTTTATTTTTTTGTTGAAGTAGTAGTTGAACTGAAGATGTTGTATATTATAAAATTTGACATAAAAATTTTAACACGTTCTCTTTACTAAGTTTTCTAGAATATCTTCATCAAACAATGAATGAAAATTGCACGATTTAGTAAAAATTATATGAAAAATAAAATTTAATTTGAATATACCGTCAATATAAAAAAATTACCCTACTAACTAATTATGAATTGTTATATCACATTTATGCAACATAAGGGTACATTTCTAATGACATATATTACTAAATATTTTATGGATGGTGGCATATTGGCAAAGGGCGGTGTTCTTATTTATATTCTTGATTTTTAATTCTATAAAAATTTAATTATTTTAAATCTTTAAAAAATTTAAAAATGTATTTTAATTATTAACAAGAGAGTAAAATTATATTAATGTTTTTAAATATTAAGACTGAAAATGGATGAAATTTCATATAAAAAATAAAAAAATGTATACTTTTAAGGATTATAAATAATTTAAAAAAAATAAAAAAAGCACAAACAAAAACAAGAGACCTCAGAGTCAATGAGCACGCATCCAAACGAAAATTCAAACAAAACCGGCGATTTACTCAACACTTTTTTATATTTTATTTTTAACGTATACTTAAACTCGTGTAATAAAAATTTAAATATAATATTTTATTAAAAAAATGTAAAATTTAATATATTTTTTAAAACTCGGATTCGATACTGTAAAATTTAAACATGTTGTATAATGTACCCTGACGTACATTAAAAAATTAAATATTTTAAAATACAATTAACATAATATTTTATAAGAGAAATTGGATAATTTGAGAACTATCACATATTCATAATGTTAATGAATTATATATTATACAATATATGATATATTTTAATTAATAAAAATATATTTGAATTTTATCATATATTACATAATAATTAATTAAGATCATAAACAATTAAGCGCCTAATAATTTCTCTCTTGGTGGGGACTAGAGAGAGAGAGAGAGACAATCAGTAAAGAAAGAATTCAAATTATGCAGCTGACAGAGGGATAACACATTAACACGACGCAATAGCAAAACAAAACAGAGGTAAGTGCAACGATTAAGGCAAGTCAGCAATATTGCGATTGGGCACATCGCATTTATTGATATTTTAGTTAGTAGTTTCGAGATAATATTAGCAAAATCTTATTATAAATAATTTGCTTTTTCATAACTTTTAACTTTTTTTTAATAATTAAGTAAATATAATATGATATTTAGTATTTCTTTAAATTTTTAAGATATTAAGTACACTTATTATTCATTGATTTAATATTTGAAAATTTTAAGCAGATATAGTAAAACTAGTGTACTAAGTACTAAATGAAGGGATAAACCCCACCCATTTACTATATTAGTTTTTTAACAGGATAAGGTTACATAAAAAAATTTAGTTTCCATTTTCCAAAATATTAAATGGTTGGACCATATATCTGTTCGTGTGCCTGTGGATGTAAAATTTTATCACTTTATCATGTAAAAGTTTAAACTAACTAGGATCTTAATGATTAAATAAATAAAAGTAAGTTTTTTAATATATACTTTTATTTCCAACTTTTTAAACTTAGCATTAAAATACTGATTAATATTTTTTTTATATGAGATTATTTATTCGTATAGTGTGCATTATCATATACCCTATTTATGGTTGTTGAAAGACCACATTAAAATTTTGGTTCGACATGAAATGAAAGTTGACCTGGTAGATGATGATAAATTGTTATGCTTCGGGTTGTTGACAATTGACTGAAACAATTATTAAGCATGACGTGACACACGGGCTTTAAGCTGCCCAATCCATAATGGTATTATTAGAAGATGATAAGGATCCACTTCAATTATAGAATTCTTCGTAATATAGGAGTATAAGATTTGAACATTAAGTTCTGGTTTGTATAAGTAAGCTAATGGAAATATGTTCTATGTCCAACATAATCACTTTTGGCACAAAGTCAGTAACTGTGCGCCTGCCAAAGTCACAGCAGCGAAAATTTACGGAATGGTGAGGCATAGTTACAAAATGTTAGGTGAAATTAAATAAAAATTAATATTTATGAAACCTGCTAAAAGAAATAAAATTAAATATAGAATACAATATTACAATTTACTTAGGGAATTTTTAGCTTTGAGAGGCTACCCCCTCCCTAGAGTAGCTCCACAGATAAATTCACCTTTGCACTAGTTGAAAGGCTTATTGTATGTACAAAGTCTTGAATTGATCACAAATCGAGATTGACTGGCCCAACTACGAATTTGCCTTAAATACGTTGAAGCTGTACAGATCAATCGTCAGCACTACAGTTTTTAACGATCAGCCACGAAGGTCATACTCATAGGCACGAAATACGAAGAGTCAAAGGTTGACACTTCAAGTTGATAACCCCAAAAGATATAAGTAACATGTATTGAGTTGAACTGTTGAACTTAGACGATGACCACTGAAGTTTGGAAGTTTTAGAAGATAAAAGAAATTAAACGATAGGTCGACGAAGGAAAACTAATAAAAAAAATTTCAAATTTCAAATTTTAAATTTCAAACTAAAAAATTTAAAAATATGAGTTTAAGAGAGCTTATAAATCCTTTCTCTTTTAGTTAAAAATTTTAAAATAAAAATTATGATTAAACAAGTCTTTCTTTACTCTCTTTTTATTTCCTAGAAAATTAACCCTCAACATATACAAGCTCGGTACTTCAATTTTTCTCCCTCGTTGACTTCATGCTTGGGCCACTTGGCAATATCTATCTCAACAAAGAACCATAGCTGACGTTCCACACAAAAACTAAACGGAAACAAATCACGTACATTATATTTCCTATTGCATTTCCCCGTCCCCCAAATTGAAAAATAACACTTCATTGAGGAGAAAAAAACTAATAATCAAGAAATAATGTGCCCTACTTCTCAATTACGTGTTATTTTTTCTGTACAAAGTAGCGCTAGGGTTTTAATCTTTTTCTTCCCTAGCTACCAAAAGGAGGTAGGGGTAACTGTTCCACTATTCTCTCCATGCTTAGCCATAATGTTGTAAAATCCGGAGGATGGTATCCCTAATAAGGATGTCCTCACCTTGGGTTAAGCGATGCTCCTATTGAACTTCTAGTAAATATACATACATTTACATTTTCGCCGCAAGTTCATATTTAGGTTCAAAATATTAGAAAGTTTTATTCGCATAAATATCTACCCCCAACAAATATGATATGCTATATTGAGCAATACCATTATGAATTTTCAATATAAATCGAAGACATGCGTTGGTATAATCCTTTGTAACGAAATAAAACTATATGAAGTTTATTTTTTTTAATGTAAAAAGACACAATAAATTAATAAATAGTAAATCGTATAGCTTTTAATAAAAGATTCACCCTACATAAATTCTTATTTTGTTGTCTTTGATCCATACAAAAAAACCTATGAAATTTTAGCGAACGACTTGAGGTTGGTTAAATTCTATCTCATTCCTTTCATTGGGAGGAGGAGACTTGAATCGAAGCCGTGGAAGAAATCATGCTTGGCCACTGAGTGCTAAAAAACTAGTTTGTACGGAGCAAAATCTACCTCGTGGCATCTTTCTATAAATCTACGTACTTACACAAGTATCATACTTGTATATCATTTCCCGTCATACAAGTAGAAAAGATCATATTCACGAGCCACTGATTCAATTGGCCCTTCATATGTTTCATATACATACGAGAATGTTTGATTTTCAGAACTCAGAAATGCATATCCTACATCATGTAATTAACTCCTTCGTAAAACATAAATTGGTAAATGAATAAATAAAGAAAACTAAATGAGCCCTACGTTGGAATTGCTACGTAAAATTCATAGGCAACAGAGCTAAATACCCGATACAGGAAAAAAATCCTAATTATAAAAGGCTCATGTTTAAAAATATAAGCAAATTATTCAACAATTGAAATGCATCATTTTCTCATTTAAGGAAGGTAAAAGGTAAAAAGAACAATAAATATAGAGTATCCCGCATATATCTATGTTGCTCACTAATCACAAAACTACGTATGCACACAAGACTATGTTCATCAGAGAGATCAACAAGTAGTTTGGGCCACTTCAGCTCTAGCAGTATGTGTCGTGTAGGGTGGGCATCCGCATCCCCCACCAAAAAAAAAAAAGATTGCAGCTAGTATATGGTATTAAAGAATACACAATGGTCAGTGAAGTAATGCTATTAAAATACTTTTGAGATATGCTATAGAATATAAATACAACATTAGATAGGCTTGGTTATTATTTTTTGGGTATGAATTAAAAACAAGCATTACAATTATCTATTCCCATGAAATAGAACATCTGTATAAAATTCCGAGGCAAGATTTGAACTCTGTTCAATCATGTCTCATTCTATTTCATTGGGTGGGGAAATGGAGGTTCAACTCAGCAATGTCAGCATCGAACTACATTACACAAGAGATTTGAAGGAAGGTAGAAAAACACCATGCTTGACAACTGTGAGCTCTACAAACTTCCATCAAGTAATCTTCCTTGTGTCCACCATCAATTTATAAAGAGCAAATCCGCCTCGATGACAACCAGGCATCTTAGAAGCAATGTCTTCCAGTTCAATCTGAAAAATACAAAATCAAAGACTTGAGAGTTTCAAGGCTAAAGGTTGGTGGTTGTAAATATAGGCATTAAAATAATAGATTAAAAATTTTAGTAGCAATAAATGAGCTTTTGAGCTTCGAAATATCAATTTTATTAGGATTTAGGCCCAACAGAACCCATGATAACCTAAAGAAAGAAATATCAATTAGCATTCAGCTCTAAACAGGTAGCTATGTCATTATCGTCAATTTATCACGCTACAGCAAGAACCAACCAAGGGGCCTCTTCTGAAATCAGAACCCACTAATGTTTTGATAGGCCTTCTGTCGCATAAAAAATTAAAACTATAAATAAGTGCCATGTTCATGCTTCTTATTAATGCCACTACCAAAAAAACAAATGTTCTTAAATGGATAAACCAAAAAGTAGAACTGTAAATAATCACAATTATTATTATTGAGTGGATTTCAAGACAAAACAATAAAAACAAGCTTTAGATTTACCATTGGAACAGCATATAGCTGGGTTGATTCATAGCCATCTTGAGCACTAGAATAAAACTGCTGAACTTCCTTTGAGTCAAGATTGCATTTGATAAAGAAAAATGCAGTCGGTCTCACATTCAAATCCCTGCGAGATATACCAATGAAAGCTGGGTTGCTCTACATGACAAAGATCAAAATTAGATAGATATTGAGTCTTTTAATCCATCCAACCCCCATTTTAAAAGGGAAAGGAGTTAGGAGATTGCAAAGCAAACTGAAAATTTATTAGCAATCAATCCACTCAGATAACAGGTGTATAACAAAAACCAAAACATATAAATGACAAAGTTTACCAAAGCTAGCATATTGAGTGGCTCTGATGTTTACTCACTTATTATGGTACCCATGTATATTGTGTTCACTCATAGTCATATTAAAGTAAGAACAAAACTTACAAGGGACGAAGCTGGCACACCAATTTCTTCAACTACTTCACGAACTATACTGTCAAACATCTCCTGTGAAACCTTAGTGTCAATAGATTCCGTTAACTCCTTGACATATTGATGGGATGAAATACCAATTTCTTGAGGCTGTCAATCAGTAAGAAAAAGAATCAAGTATCAACGTATAGCAATGATGCACCTATATGATACATGAATCAGTATTACGACTATTCTTAAAGTATATAGGATACTATATGTGTGAAAATTTATACAAATAATAATATATATAATTGCAATTCTACAAATCCAAATTAAGAACATACTTCATGGACATTACTAAATACAAGTAAAAATTACAAATCATTTTGTCATAATTCATAAATAAATACTTATTTCCCATAAACAGGAATAGTATCAATCTCTTCCTTGAGCATAATCCATAAAGAAGACAGATTTCATTTTTTTATTCAAGAGATAATACTTCTATGTTTCTATTGTCAACATGCTTCTAAGTCTCATAATTGACTGTACTACATCGTCATAACTTTTTTTTAAAAATATGCTAGGATACTTCATATGTACATATTGATGAAGTATCCAAGAGTATCAGTATTGATATGTATCTGTATATAGTACATAAACAGGAAAAGTTAGGTGCTTCTATTAAGTACTCATTAAATATATGACAATACAGTATAGAAAAAGGAGCAGTTATCATTGCAAAGAAATGCATCACACACTCTAAAAGAAAATCAAAAAGACAAAGACTAATTTTAGAACTATCCATTTTAGAAAATAAATCTACAACTGCACCACCAGATAACAGCAACAGAAAGGATTTAAAGCATTCATTTCAACATTGAATACCTCAGGATGGCCACCAGGGAAAACAAAATACCCAGGAAATTCACCAACATTATTACTTCGTTGTAATACTAGAATCTTATTGTCAATCGTCTCCACCACTGCACCATTTCCTAGTGGGCTGGAGGTGTGTTGACAAAGAACAGAATCATCTGAGGAGAAAGATGCGGTGAAAAGATTAAGACAAATTAAAGGGAAAAGCAATGATGAGATAAGGGGGGTGGGGGGGTGAAGGAGCATACAAGATTGGCGATTTTGGTTCTTATGATTCCATCCATTATTGTTCAATAATATTTAATCGAAGAGATCAAACTGATCAATTATATTCGATACATGTAATTGTTGGATAAAGGTAACATGTCTCAAGAATGTTTGATAAAAGCTGTGCCTACTTTGTCCTTGTAGAATGGAGAAGTTAATGTTGTGGATATAATCCAAATATATAAAGTAAATGACACTCTTACACAGGTGCACTCTCTTCCTACTTCTACAAATTATAAACCAACCTCTCTATTTTCCAACTGCGCAACAGTAAGTTATCTTCTTGATGAATGCCCCGGACTCATGAAGAAACAAAAGTGTAATTTATTGCTTTTTTTCTTATTCCCTTATTTAGTGATTCTATGCACCTACATGACAATTGAGGTGAAAAAAATGCCACAAATTTGCATCCTTTTCACTTCCCGAATATTTTCCAATTACAAAATGGAACACAATCAAATTCAAGCAAGGCATAAAGGAGGTCAGTAGGACCTAAAACAGTTATGACTTGGACGAAGGTTGTGGTTTATACACAAATATGTTTGTGGAAGCAGTATGAGTTGGGACCAAGATGACCAATAGGAAGGTTAGATATCGGATATTGGGTTATGCCGTTATGGTAGTAAGACTTATGGAACTGGACCGCTATGCTGTGATAAGATGCTCAAGTTCCCAACTGGCTAATGATTTCAGGATCAAGTTATACCTCCTCTACTTAGAAACAGAGAGAAGGGCAAGACCATCATATTTTCAGACATAAAGGGCTGCTCCACTGTTTCAAGCAGGGCAAAAGAAGGATGATGGACTACTGCTGCCTCTAGAATTTCCTTAACTCAACCTCCAACCCCTTGCTCCATTCCTGATAATTTTATTGGACATTAAAGTAACTTCAGTTTGGAAGTCAGGTGTCACATTACCCTAACTTGAGATGCTAGCAGTTTAAGATCACAGAGTAACCACAATAATAGTACATGAGTTAAAAAGACAGCCAAAAATTGCAATGACTTACCTTCTGATGGAACCAGGAACCTTTCCCACAAAGGACTTAAATTCGTACCCACAAAAGTCCTGGAAGCAAGTTTGACCAAAATTAATAAATAGAGGGAAAGTAGAACTGACAAGCAAAAATTACAAGGAATGAATAGCAATAAGATTTAACTATGCTTAAAGACAGTATTGGAGAGATAGCCTCCATTGGTTTCAGATATACACTAGAGACAGATGTACAGCATATACGACATTTGCCGCAAATAACTTATGAAATATGTTGGTTAGCTGATTGCTCATATGTGCGTGTATTGCTAGGAAATCATTGGAATACATCAATTTTGCACATGTTTTTTCAGATGAAGACCACCAGTATGTTGCAATTGAATTTGTAAACACAAAAGTCTCCAACTAATTTACCAAATGACTTTTTAACTATTTTATACCGATAAACAATGAATATTCAAGTCATGAACATGAACATCGAATTTATCATTCAAGATAATAGAATTATCATCATCCTATCAATATCACTAACCATGCTAAATGAAAATGTATCACTTAATAGAGGGGCGCTGAGATGAGACCTATAATCTGTCAAACCAAGGTGGAGGCATATATGCGGTTCATGATCTGATCCACCTCCAGCGTGAAACACATACCCTCCATACTGTAATATTTGCAACACAAAGTTAGACACGCTCTGTTAAGAATATTTTCCCTCAAACTTTATCTCGCTAAGATAACACATCCCAGATACATGACAACAGAAAGGACTAAAGAGAGAGAAAAAGATTGAAGTCATTACATTATATCATGGAATATGGATATGGATTAATAAACATGCCATGCATATAGTATTATCATTATGGATTAATAAACTTCAATTGCTAATTGCTAATCACATCCATACCATAACAGCACTATTAAGAAACCAAATAATCAAAATATGGAGCCATCAATACACATTAACAAGGAAAAACGCTCACACACTATAACAACTGATAAATAAGGTTCGCATACCCTGAACTTATTTCCATTGAAGAGCGAGTTGTTTTTGAGAGTCCTCTGTTCCCATATCTGAAAAACGGGAACGGGAGATAAGCATAACACGTAATCATAAATTAAAAGCATAAACGAATGATAAGGGAAGTGATTCACCTCAGAAATGGTGTTCTCCAAGCTGGCGTCAGCGTGGGGGACTCGGTCATAGGCGTCGCTGAATGCCACAGAAACCTTCAAAAGCGAAGAATGGTTAATAGTTGGTAAGCGAAACACATTGATATTCAACGAAGTTGAGAGAACCTGTGAGGGTGGAAGGCCAGAAGGAGACGATACAAGAAGGTTGAAGGAAGAAGGATCGTGGCTACTCCCACCAATTGTTGCTTCCTTCTCCATCGCAACGTCGTCGATACCAACTCCTAACCAGATTCAAGATTTCTCAAGTTCGCCGGAAGCTATTGGGCTCGTTCAAAATTTAATGGGCCCTAGTGTGGCCATCATTGGGCTTCTTCATTCAACTGGAGTCCAACTTGATGTTCACCAAAACAAACCCGAATCATGTTTATGGCTTTAGTCATGGTGATGCAGTTTGCCCTTTTTCCTTTTGCTTGAGTGGAGGTGTGTGTTCAGACACCACCACCCCCCACCCCCCACCAAAAAAAAAAACAAGAATAGAGGAGTGTCTGATAAAAAAAGTTGAGTGCTAGTATTGTCTTGTTATTGATTAAAATTAATTAAAATTTGTAAATTTATAAGTGAAACTCTTTGAATAAAGAGTAAGATTACGATACCTTTATAGTTTATAAAAAATATTCAGCTAAAAATTAAAGAGGAAATAAGGGGTCGAAAATTATAACTTAAAAGGCAGAGGAAATTTTCAGAGAAAATATTGAAGTTTTTTATTTTGTTTTCTTTCCTCTTTATTTTTTTCTTCAATCAAACATTGGAAAATGTCAACTTGCAAAAGTTACGTAAGGTTACAAAATAACCCCTTAAAAAAAAGAAACTTAGAGGATGTTTCCATTTAAAAAAAAAGTTTTTTAAAAAATAAATATACTTTTTTTATTTTTAAAAAGAAAAAACTCTCATTACTAGAAACATGTAAAATACAGATAAATTTTATAAAAGAAAAAATTTATTTTATTACAAATTGATTTAGAGATGATAAAAAAAATAATTTTTTATTTTATTTTTTTGATAAATTTATCTGTATATCTATCAGTTTGTAATTGATAAATCACGAGAGGTTATAACTTTTTTTTAACAATTGTTTTCATGAAATTTATTGAAATAAAAATTAAAGAAAAAGGTTATAAAACACTTTTACAAAACTTAATTGAACACCTAATTGCTTATGAGAAAAGATAAATTCAATTTTTTTTTCATTCAAAATATTTTAGACACTCTTTTAAATTAAAGATAAATATATTTCATTAACTCTATACAAATAATTTCTCTGCGTGTGTGGATTGTGGTCAGGGGTAAATGATATTTCCTTCAGAACAGCTAAAACCACAAATAAAAACTAAAAGGATAAATGATTTTCTTATAAATATCCAAGACAATTAAAATAATTATACTAATTAATGACCGAAAATAAGAAGAAACCTAAAAGAAATCGAGCAAAAAAGGAAGTAAAGAGAAATGAAATTAAAAGATAAAATTTAAATACAGTTCTTTAACATTATTTTTTTGACTTGAAATATGATTTTATTTGAAAAATAACAATTGTTTGATATCATCACAAATTATTACTATAAAATTCTAGTTTTATTTAAAAAACAATATAATAAAATATTTAAAAATCATACCTAAATTTTCTCGTAATTAAAAATAAATGAAAGGTGCTTATCAACGACTTTTTAATCGATGGTGTGCTGTTGAAAATAGCATTTCGGTGATCACATTCGTGGGTTGAAAGTTCATACATATTATGGATAAAACCGTGGCTAGTGTCGTCATTGGTAAGGTTGGAATCTCTCTATCGTTCTCTCTTACAAAATAGCGCAAAATCTATCATATGTTTAGTCTTCAATTAATGCGTGAACTAGTTGTAAATTCTAAACAACAGTAAAAATATAAGTAACAATTTTTTTTCAATTATTTGAATAATATACTATATTAATTTTGATATTTATAAACAGAATATTAATTTTTTAGAATTAATGTGAAGTTTTATACATATTTAATCTTTAATATATCAATTTTCAATTTTATAAGAAAATTATTTGATAAAAAACTATTCAGTATTTTAAAGCGATTTACCACAAAAAAAGTTCTAAGAAACTTACATGCAGAGGTCGTCGTACGTTGTTAAATAAGCACTTTAAATTTAAATCATTAAATAACAATTTTACTTTATCATTTTTTTGAGAGATGAACTCATGAAGACGTGAATTGATGTTAATGACCATACGTTGGTGAGATAAACATTAGTTCTCCCTTCACATCAACAGCACTTTATAAGTCCAACACTGCACATGGAGAGATGCTCGAAGCACACAGAAGAAGAAGCAGCCATCGATAAGGTCTGGATCTCATAATTAGGTTGTCTTGACACAAATAATATGTACTGTTTGAAGCATGTTTTGCTCTGATGATATTTTGATTTGAGTGTTTTCTCAGTTTGTCATGATTAAAAATGCCCTTGGACTTCTTTATCAAGAAAAAATGAAAAAGAAAGAAAAAAAGTACTAAAATTATAGCAACCCACAGCGAAAAATTCGGCTTATAATGCAAAATGATTAATGAGAGTGGATCGTATGGTTTGAATTCTACAATTCAGCAGATCCCAATCCCATGGGGCTTTAATTAGCATCACGCTTTGGTGTTTTGCCCAACCAGTTCAGTTCCTTTTCTTTGTAAACATTTATTGTATTGTTCGGTGACTTCTTCAAATGCTTAATTCATTCATCGCCCTACTCTTCTTGTTACTTTATGTCACATTTTGTTGTTGCTATCAGAGTTTGATATTTCAGTAAGGTAAAACTTTAATTTTGATTACAATATAATGTTTATATTTTGTTTTTATCATTTTGTTAAAAATAAAATTTTGATGTATTATTATAAATATTTTTAGTATTATTCCTTAATCAGAATTTGTGTTTTATTTTAATAACGTGTGTAAACTTTTGTTGGAATATTTTTTTTAATATTAACTTTTACTGTGTATATTATAAAATAAAACTATAATTTTGCCTGTAATGGTATAAAACTTACGATATTATACTTAAAATTTGTCATTTTGTTAATTGATTTTAAGTATGTCAAGGCAAAAATATGTTTATCACTTTTATTGACACTGGTCCTTAGATCGATGTTTTAAATATTTAAAAGTATTTTTATAAAAAATATTATAATTTTGTACTGTTTATGTAATAAATATTTTTTTAATAAAAAATTATATTTGTAGTTGTTTAAAATCAGTCTTAAAGATTAATGTTAATGTTTTAAATTTTTTACTACCGTTTATATTTATAAATTCTATTAATTACTAAAAAAAGAAATTATTAAATATGTTTATATTTTTAAGATAACGTATATATATATATATATATATATATATATATATATATGAAAAAATTATTGAGAAACATATTGATAGAATGATATAACAAATTATTAATTTTTCTTATGTTTATATTTCGTCTTCTTTCTTGTCTCTTCTTCCGCTCATTATCACCATCAAAATCTTCATTATTTTCCTTCCCCACCCTCCCCTTGTGTTCTCTTAATGGCTATTGAGTTTACAAGCTGCTAGCTGATATTTAACGTTTTCATTATGCTGCTTTGCTCTGCTGGCTGATGCATTATCCTAAGCGGCGTTTAAAGGTGGAAGATTCAGCATTATCAACTCGTCTTTTCCAATTATGGACCACACAAAAGTTAGAAAGGAAAGTTACCATTCTACTAGCTGTCCTCTGCTATGCAAAATGGTATTTTATATCATTTTTTATTAGGACCACAAAAGTCTTGTACCTAACTTTTGATTGTTCTAGTTAATTGATCCTTAAATGACAGAAACATTCTAGCTTATAATAGAGTTATTGATATTATTAAACATTTTTTTAATCTTTCAGAATACGAGTACCACCCATTGAAGTTTATATACTTGATTTATTGCCCCATAGTTCTAAGAAAATATGTATTTTTTATTATAAAATCAGCAGCATTAATTATTTGTATATATAAATATTGCATTTTAGCATAATGATATCCACTTCAAGGTCATTATTTTCACATGCATTGCAATATTTGTATATATCAAGGATATGCCTAGTCTTTGTCTTGAGAGATTACATAAACATATAGCAATTTTCTGTTGACATCATCTCCTTTATATGCTGACAAAAATAAGAGAAACAATTTTTTTTACGGTGGCAATTACATATCAGACATAAGGAAGCAGCTGATATAAATCCTAACTAAAGGACAAAATTTAAATATTATTTTTTTAATACAGCTTATACTGTTTTTTTAAACTAGAATTTGATTTTAATAAAATATATTTAATATAATTACAAATTAATTAAAAAATAACACTAAAAGTACTGATAATATTTCACCTAAATTTTATTCTACACAGTACTGCAATTAACTCCAATACATGTGATGGGCATAAAATTTCATCAACTTAATTAAAACTCGAGACTATTGCTGTTTGAAAGTTTTAAAAAGGGTAACTCTTGTAGTTGTAACTTTTATGGGTAACAGTAAATTATGGCATCGATGCTGTTAGAAATTTATTGCATGTCAATTAAGGTCAGTTTTGCAGCTGAGCTAGTCCCCGCGGGCTGGGGTCCTTCACCTGGTTTTTCCATTTGTGAATGTTTCGCAATCTATATTTATTGTGTTTGCATATAAAAGGCAATTCATGAACCATGTGGTCTCAAGTGGCAAGTCTCAACTCTGCAGATATTCGATATATATTTTACTAATTGCTTATGATGTTTTTATTTTTAATTACTGAGTGGATTTTGTGTCGGGGACACTTTATGAGTTTTATCGTTTACAATATTTTCTTAATCACTATAGTATTGTTTTTTAAAGTGCTTGACTACTCCAGCATTAAAAATTGACTGCCCACTCCTATATGACTCAAGATCTTTCAAAATTTTAATTCCATGAATTTAACCTTTTTTATTACAATTTATGTCTTTAATTTCTTGCTAATTGAAGGGCCTCTAATCAGCGTACGTTCATTATCGTGCCTATCCAAGATCCTCCTAGCTAGCTAAACTCTCAAGCTGAAAATTAATTAGATGGGACCATTGAATTTTGGATTTTTCTCTCTTACATTTAAACTTAAAGCTATTTTGTTAATATTTTGAATAATTGGACATGAGTATTTGACAGCTCGAAAGGGTGGATCTTTATTTTAAAATAAATTAAAAACACTTCCCATAGTTTGGGGATTATGATTGTAAGTACATGTCTAAACAAAGTTCCAAGCACAAAGTTTAGAACTAATGTTATTAATTATGAAAAGCCTTTTATAGTGCACCAATATAGTGAGAGAGAGAGAGAGAAATAACTCCATTAATAAAAGGACCCCACGACTCAAAGCCTCACTCAAACTATTAGCTGGTCAACTTCGTGTGTTTACTATCTAGGGCTTCTGCAGACCTTACTGTATATATACAGAAGAGAGGAAGTTTTGACAGAGTACAATGGCTTTCCCTTTTTCTGTTCAAATTTTCAATGGTGCAATCACTGCTATTTAATACACGTGCAACTCCCTCATAAAACTGTTATAAAGTAAAGGAAAACAGTAGACAGAATTTGGTCAGAATTATTTTTTTGATCAATCAATATATTTATATTAAGTTCGGTTTTGTTAATAGGGATGCATTTAAACATCCAAAAGAAATAATTTTTAATTAAAAAATATTTATTACATTATAATTATAAACGTATAATTTTTTTAAAATAAAGAATTAATTTAAATATACTAACAATGTAAATTTTTTTTACACTAGTGTCCAATCATAAATTATTATATTAGTAAAGATAATTAATATTTGTAATAATTAATATAAAAATATATTTAAGATTTATTTAAAGTTTTTGATATTATAAAAAAAATTACACTAACATTACATAGAAATTAAACATAGTTGTAAAGGCCAAGGTTATATTTTTTTTATTAAATTTTAGGTAAAGGATTCATTTACTCAAATTTCAATTTAAATTTGTTAAATATTTTTGACTGTGTAGCATTACTTACTCTTATTCAAAAGAAAAAGACCAACATGCAGTGGCAGGAGAAGAGAACACAGGCTTTCCTTGTCAACAAATTAAAATTCAGTGTCAAAAAACCAGAAGCGAAGGGCATGCACATGGAAATTAATTAACAATTGACTATTATTTGGCAAAAGGAAAAGTTGTATTCAAGAAAGGAGCATTAAGCTAGTAAAAGCCTTCTAATCTGCTAAACAAAATCTAATAAAAACTATTACAATTTTTTTGTCGTTTTCTTTTGTCAAAAAGAAACATGTTATTATAACACATAAACAAATAATGCAAACCAAAAGTAGGAAACCATAATACCCTTTTAACAGTGTGACAAGCCTCAGAGATGTTAGAAGCAGCACACCTTATTGGGTAATGAACCCTAGCTAGAGGGCCCCGGGTTCAACAATAATAAGTGTATAGTTTACAGAAAAATTTAATGCACAATTACATTGATGCACCTGTAAAGAGATCTAAAGAATGAGAGGGTTTCTTCCTTTTTTGTTCTTTCATGAGCATAGGGAGGCAAATAGAACAATAACAATAACCTTGATCACTTGAGAAAATCTGGAATGTTTTCATAGGTATATGGATCCTCAACTTCGTTGATCCAACCATAGGTCTCCAGGAAAGGGTTGGCCAATGTCTCTGGAGGGTAGTTATCAATGCAGTCCCACACATTGGCATCATCCCCCAGGTCCTTCATTACCTCCCACAAACAGCTGTTACATTTAAAGCCAGCACCAAAGCTTATCATGAATACTCTGTTACCTTTCTTGAGCCTCTTCTTTGCCTCCATGTACCCTAACACATACCAAAGGCTACTTGCTGACGTGTTCCCAAAACGGTGCAGTGTCATCCTCGCTGGCTCAAGATCATACTCACTAAGATCCAAGCTCATTCCAATCCCATCTATCACAGCCTTTCCTCCAGTGTGCAAGCAAAAATGGTCAACCCCAGTTTTGAAATTCAACGGTGACTTGGTTGCACCCACTACACCCACAGACTTAGGAGAACTACTTTTGTTCATTTTTTTAATAAGTGACACCACCAAAAACCTTAACAACTCCCTCATTGGCAAAATCTTGGGTGCTATAACCCTCAAGTTATCAACAAAAGCCCTTGTAGCTGCCTTTGGAAGAGACTTTCCAAGGTGAAACCCAAGCCTACCTTGATCATCCTCCTTCTGAATACAACAACCATAAGCCTCTTCTCTTGCCCCATGATGGGTCCTCACCAAACACTTCAACTTCAACATGGCCCTGTGCTTCAAGGCCCTTTTGTTGGTCAAAAGAATAGCACACCCACCAGAACGGAACAAACAGTTGGCAAGAATCATTGATCTATCATTCCCAGAATACCAATTAGGACTTAAAGATTCAGAAGTCACTAAAAGAGCCAACTTGTTCCTTTGGGACTTAAAAATGTTCTTAACAATGTCCAATGATATAAGACTAGCACTACAACCCATCCCAGTGAGATTGTAAACCTTAATGTCATGCCTCATTTTGTAACGGTTAATGATTCGTGAGGACAATGAAGGAACAGCAGCGAGCATAGAGATGTTAACCACAAGCACATCGATCTCAGAAGGAGAAATTCCTGACCTGGAAAGAACCTTCTCAATGCTGTCGTTGAAAAACTCTTCCATCTCCGAGATTCCATCCAACACCGTTGGACTCGCCTCGCGTCCGTCGAACACGTTTCTTGGCGCGTAAGTTTGCTCCCCAATGCCGGAACTCACTATGGCTTTAAGGAGAAACCTGTACTCGTTCGGACCCAAGTTCTCTGTCCTTCTGATTATTTTCCCACAAAACTCTGTTCCAAGCATTCTATCATCTGAAGGCTTGTAGCATTGGTAATCCAATATGTAACACTCTTTGTCCCTTTTCTCCTCCAACCACCTCCAGATCAGGAAACACGTGTACAATGTTGGAAGTGCGTAGAGTAAATAGAGAAACTCCATTAGAGTGTGTTTGCTTGTGTGAGAGAAAGGGATCAGAAGAGAAATGTGTAAACGACAGAGGAGGGGCAGAGAATTTTGCAGGATTAAAATTTGAAGCACTGTGTTTTATAAGAAGAGAGTGGTGTGCTTTAGCTTCAGCGTGAATGAAATGAGTTGCGCATGTGATTGTGAATTGAGACGTAATCTTGATGTCAATATCTCAACCCCCAACAAACTATTAAGTTTTTTCTTTATGAACAAATATTCTAAACCATCTTATCATTTTCTTAAATTATTAAATCAAACTCTAATGTTTTGCATTTTTAAATTTAAATACGTTTATGTTTGCAATGTCTTTGTTACGCACGAGAGACTTTTAAGCAAAACTTGTTTGAGTCCCGCGTCCTCGTCTCTAAAATAGGAACCAGGAACAGATAATTTAGTTCATAATTAATAATGATTAAGTAGTCGTAAAGTGAGTTCAGTCACATTAAGTAGCTTATGTAGAAAAATTAATACTCCAATGTGTTTTGACTTAATTTGATATTGGTTGACTAGCGGTAAATTGTGTCAATTTGTTTTTTTTTTTAATTATCAAAATAAGTATTTAAATGTAAATAATGTGATTGTTTTAATTTAAGTCGATTAGATAAGTTTTTTAAAATTAATATAATAATAAGAGTATAATTAAGAAAATTAACTAACTTACTCGAATAACTTGTAATCGACGGATAATTAAGTAGGGCTACTATTTACTACGGACGTTAATTAAACGTGTCCTTTGATCTGCAAAGCAAGCGCCTCATTTAATATTCATACGTACATACTTTTTCCAATGTCAACGTTATTGTGTAAATTTTAATTCAATCTATATTACAGGATTTAATTTTAAGCTATTAAATTATTTTTAAAATGGACAATTATGATCGTTATCTAATTAACTCTATTATATTATTCAACATTAATTAGTTATAATAAAATAAATCATGGTCTTAAACAAAGTTTATTTAAATGGTATAATTGTGATTGTGGAAAGGACTTGGTTAATTGTCATGGGCAGCATTTTAAGAACTAGTCTTAATAAGTTACTGGAAATATATTGGGAGAAGAAAAAGAAAAAGTGTCTTATATGCTGGCTTATGTTTGAATAAAGAAACCGCAAAAGTTGTATCCGTCTCAAATAAAGAGAAGAGTCATTATAGTCCACAATAAGTAGCTTACCCAATGTAGTTATGCACATTTAAGAAATATCTATGGCGGTAGATAAGGCTTATTGAGGGAAGACCATTATCTTAGATAAATTTTTTTTGTTAAAATATATAATATAAGACTCACTTCGTGAACTATTCTTATTAAAATTAAAATTTGGATCGGCAATCATATTCAACTTTTCTGCAAACTAAAATTCACACTTGCCTGAAATTGTAGGTCGTTTCTTAATGTCTACGTCTGTCTTATAATAATAATAATATGCCGTAAGCTGATTTTGAGTAAACTAGAAAAAATTTGTTAAAAAAATTATTTCTTTATTTTTAAAAAAATATTTAACTTACCTAAAATAAAAAAAAAACTAATTTATAAGTGAAGTTTTATTATTTTTAGATTAATTATTTTTTTATAAAAATTCTTTGAAAGTTTATCCAAATTAATTCGTAATTATTTTAACTCAAACTTTTAATTTCCGTATCACTTGATAAAATCAGTTTTTAAAATATATTAAGAATGTGTTTGTACAATTTTTTAAAATATGTTCTTTAATTAATTTAAAAAGATATTTTAGGACAAACAAGTGGACACTAAATTGATGTACAAATAAACCGCTTACATTATTAGAAAAAATAATGTCAATTAATATAAGTATATTTTTTTGACAAAATTTTTTTTTTATAAATAAAATATATTATTATAAAGAGTTCAAAGAGAACTCAAAATTCATATCCATATAGAAAAAATTAATACTTACTCAAAAAAAAAAAATAAAAAATAAAAACATACCTAACTAAAATAAATATAATTTTATAAATTTAAATATTAATCAGCTAACAAAATAATTTTTTGTAAGTTAAACGTTGGGTCGTATAATTAGTTTTGCATGAATATTTTGGGATTATGATTAATTAAAGTTGCAAATACATCTTAAATTCTCACCTCTTCTCTTGCCATGAGGAACGAAATGATCAAAACTTTGAAATTGATCAGTCCAATGTTACAAGTAACGTTTATAAGAATAAGAGGTGGTAATAATTAACTATACAATTACTTATGTGGGTGTGAGAAAGGAATGATTAATCATACTTACATAAGTACACAATAATAATTAAAATTGCTAATTTTACTTGAAAATAACATTAATAACTCATGTGTTGAGGAGTCGAACTTAGCTCCGTCTAACTTAACGAGTAATCGAATTCGAAAAATCATGCATCAAAATCAAACACGTGTATATATAAATTTTATATATGTGAAATTAATTAAATCTTAAAATCTGAATAACTCGTAAGTCGACAACTTCAATTATCAACCCTACATAAGTATATGAATCTTGTCAAAGCTTTTTGTCTCCTTCTTAAATTAACATTTCCACATGCACAAAAAGCCTTGTATGTCAAGGACACCAAACCCCTAACCAATTATTGTTACAAGATAATTAATATCTTTAATTTCTCATCTTCTGTGAATGTAACCAAGACACTGAAGATATTTTTGATTTGAACATCGCTAGCTAGTGCATTAGAACTATAAATAAAAAAATAATAAATAATAATTTTTTATTAAAATTATGTTTCAATATATTAAAAATTAAGATGAGTATATTATAATATTTTTAACAAAAATGTTTTTAATTTCTCAACTTATAATATTTTAAATAGTTCTATTTAAAAGTCTACTTTATTCTATTAGTTTTTTTTTAATATATTACTCTTTATATTTGAGATTATTAAAAAATTTAAATAGGTATATTTTTATAAATATTATAAGGTTTTTATCTAAATAAATTATAAAAATAATAATTCAATACTTTAAATATATATAATAAAATTATATATTTTTATTTTATTAAAATATATAATTACAATAACACAAATATAAATTAATGTTATACACATATTAAACAATAGTAACGCAAAAAACTTCAATAAATAAGACTATCTCTGTAGAAAATATGTCTAAGTTTTATAATTTAAAATTTTATTTATTTTAAAATTTAATTTATTTAATATATTATTATGAATTTAAATAAATAATTCTAATAAATTTTTAACAAAAATATTTTTAATTTCTCAATTTATAAATTTTAAGTAGTTCTATTTAACTCAAAAAATAAAAATATATGAGGTTGTGTTAAATATATAAAGAAAAATTTTATTATTTATAATGAATTTATTAAACTTGAACATATGGTATAAAAATATATTTATTAATATTTTATTTTTATTTTTGTCGATAATTACAAAATCATCACTTCTCTCATTAATTTTAATTTTTAGTTATTTATATGCAAAATGAGAATAATAGAATTGTATTATTTTTATCATATTTAGTTTATACAAATGTTTTTAAAAAAACAGCATGTTATCTTTGTAATTATTTAAGGAAATAAAAAATATTTTATCACATTAAAATATATTAGCATTTTTATTTATATTTAATTTTATTTTTAAAATATACACACGAGTAATTAATATGTCTGTTTTCATGTTAGGACAGATGTCCCATCGCGGCATTATTTTTTATGGCAATCCTTGTTTTTAAAATTAACTTTAATTTAATGTTGAGTTAGGTTTAATTTGATATTATAATTTATTTAGTTTTTATTTTAAAATATTTATAAAATTTCAATTTTGCAACCATATTCAAATGTTGAATTTTAAGTATAAAATGTTCAAATATTCTATATATCTTAATTAATGATACAGGTATAGTTTAGATAAAGTTTGAGAGAAGTTTTTATAGGAAAAACAATTTGTATAAGAAAATAAATAAAATTTTTCTTTTAAGTTATGTGTAATTATGTTTTATTATGTTTTAAAATTTTTTACTTAATTTATTTAAATTTTGAGAAAATAAATTATTTTTAATTTATGTAAATATATATATATATATATATAATAAGTCATTTCGATAAGTTTAATAAATTTTTTTAAACTCAAATCTAACCTATTTAATTAATTAAATTATAAAAAAATTTAAATTAAACACATCATTTAAATAAGTTAAGTCAGATTAGACTAAGATTAGGTTTTGTGAAATGATATGACCTATTTTCATCTTTCATGTATATCATACATATAAAATAAAATTTTAAATATTAGTTTTTAAATTAACAGTTATAATTACACTGTTTTTTAAAAGGTGAAAAAAAGTGGACTCACGAAAGAAATTCCATCTGATATATTCCACTGCTAGTGGAGCTAAAATTGCCTTCGAAAACACGAATAGGATGGAATATCACTACTCCAGTTAACTATTACCAAAACACATTCTAACAGTACAGCTCCATAAAAACCAATCAAACAGTATGTATAACTTAAAAACTAAACTGAAGATCCAAATCTTAACCCTTTAAAATTTAAACGTACTATGAAGTACAAGTGACCCTTCTTAATTACTTACACAATTTTTTTTAATTAATTATCTTATAATTATTGTGGGTTCAGTTTACGGGAAATGGAAGCACCAGCTCTTTAGCTTTGAATTGCATGTACAGTTATGCATTTAACGGTTTTAAATTTTTAAACACTCTTTTCACCTCTTATTTGAAAAAAAAAACTAATTAATTTGAACTGATAAGATATATGCACTTAAAATTTACTGTAGTTTGCAGAAGATCACGATCCTTGTTTACCTCACAATTTAGTTCTCTCTCTCTCTCTCCAACTTGTCTTGGAATCCAATCAAACGCAATAAGCTAATAGGTGTCTGTTTGTTTCAAAATTGAATAAAAGTATTTTAAATTGCAAAATATAATTACAATGTGTAATTACATGCATAAATCTGAGCTGTAAATTTTGTACTACTAAAACTTGTGTAAAAAATAGTATAAAAATTGATTTTTTTTCTCATGATTTAGAA